GTCCTACACCTCAATCTTACCACACCACCTCGCCTCAAATACCGATAATGGCGTTACTCCAATTGCATTCGGGCATTTGCCTCATCAAAAGCCGGCCATCTCCCACTACATGTTTACGATGCTATGTACACCCGCGAGGAGGAATTCAAGTCATAATCTACAAAGCTCGGGTCTTGATCTATGGGGGACCGTTGCTCTAATGGGGCTTCATATCTTGAGGGAGGATAGGCAGCTGGGACGTGGGACGAACGAGTGAAGAGATCACAAATGGGCATTCTGGGACGCACATTTTTCGAGCATTTTCGACTTAAGGGTATCTGTGGGTGCCGAGGCAACGATTTCGGATAGTGCAACCGACACTCTAAAAACTGGCAACGATGGAAGGCGTTTTGGTCCGCCTCCTGGTCGTCATCTCCCCGAATTAAAGTCTGGGTAGCCTGGAAACCTACCTTACTCGAGAAAGTGAGGACTGTGAGGCCATATCTCGCGCGACGGCTATATACAAGATGGTAAAGGCATGTTAGGGTAGCCAAAGGTTTTTCCTGTTTTCCCTTTGGTGAATATTAACGGTTGAGGAAAAGGTGAATGTCCCTAGCACCAAGATCTCGAGCGGTATCAGCGAATGCACCCACTACATGAGTGGTCCAAATGTCAAACTGAGTTATTGTCGTATTTGTAGCAGCCATTAACAAAATGGTAATTTGTTGGGAATAAGATGGAGACATGTGATTATAATGGGGTGGATGACATGAGAATTGTAAACTAGGCAATAGCGAGTAAGGGTTTGTGGAGGCACGTGTACACTCAGTATATCTCTGAGCAATAGCTGTCACCCAGAAACCTTCTGATAGATAGATACAAAAACACATTCTACTGATTGCCTTTACCTTCGGATTCGAATCCAAGAACCTGGTAGTTTTAACCAACATATATCGTCGTCGGGGAAGGACTCGCCTTCTCCGTGTCATGCTCTTTGAGTGCAGGGCTTGTGCCCGTCACGAGTAAACCTTCATTCATTCATCATCACCTGTGATGTGTAGAATCTCTCTTTTGTAATTAAGTTGCAACATCATAATTAGTCTGCTGCAGTAAATCTTTGCAGATTACGTTATATTTGCATTCCAACCATCACATTTCACTTCCTGAGTATGTTCACAATAAGGAAGTACACATGATCAAACTGATTACTGGAAGCAAAGAGGACACCTAGATAAACTTCGTTGATCCAACTACTTCAGAATTAACCACTTAATGAAAAAAGGGAAGTTTGATAGAGAAACATACTTCATGTTACTCAGCGGAAACCCTAAGCACCTCTAGCTCTCACGATATCGACTACAGAGCCTAGATTGGCACTTTTTGGGATTTGAACTGGAATTTTCCCACTCCCTCAATGATACGCCCCTGACAACAAATACGACTATGAGAATAGAACAGAATTTATGTCCCTACTGAGTCCATGACTATAAAGGAATGCTAAAACTAGATAATACGCTACCGAAATTCACTTGTTTTTATATGTGGCTTATATTCAATTTTTTCCCAATAGAAACTGAGGGTTTTACCCTAATACGACTACTAAGTCAGTATTAAAGCTAGGAAATAAGAGAGATATTACGATACCAAGCCCGACGACGGTATTTAGAAAAGTCTTAGTCACATTACAGCATATTCACCCCACCGACAGGCAGATAAAAGCCCATGAAATTAAGGTAAGAGAAGCTTTTGACCTCGAGAAAAGTAGTTTATGACTCGCAAAAACATCACCATATCATTTTTAGCTTGCGAATACGTTAAATAAAAAGGTATACAAATCACGCAAGCCTATTTCCACGATCACTCTTGGATGATAGAGAAGGTTACTTCATTACAGATGCTTGCGACCAAGACTTTATTTTAAGTCTGTGCTGAGCTGAAATAGCGTACAATCAAGGTGTAGGTACAGAATGAGTGTTTTATTGCATCAGATTTTCATCGCATATATAGCTATCTAGAAATGACAAAATAGAAGGGACGAAGTACAGAATAGATGAACATATACGCGGTGAAAATCTGATGCAATAAAAACATTCTGGAGGTATTTGAAATTACAAATGTAAAATTTAACCGTCAAGTCAATACTGTAGGGATTATAAAATACTTGTGGTCTCGGGATCAGAGGTTTTGTTGTCTAGCAGCTATTACAGAAAATGTGCTAAACGACTTCTAATTATCGGGTGACTTTTCTCAACAATTGTCAGTGATGTCCCCTGCGAACCTCCAGCTCTCACTGCAGAGTCTACAGATCCGAGATTGAGTAATGCCTTTATCCTTGCGTTGATGAGGACTCCCAGTCGCTTTCTCGGTCTGTATCGTCTTCATCTCTCAACGCATCCCCCTGTTATCATTATCATGAAGCTGACTACGATCAGATCAGATGGTAAGGTCGGAGCCCTACTCATTATCAACCCTTGATCATGGAGGAGATGCCATCCGATGAATTTCCGGAGCGTACCCAGCACCCGATACGGCGATGGTGCCAGGTAACTGGGAGCCTGACCTGTGATAGGCGAAGTGTTTGTAATTAAAGCAAAAGATACCCCAGTAAAAACAACTTGATTCCTATTTCTCCCGGATTTCTAGGACTATATATACTGATCATGATTGACTTGATCTCTTGATCTCTTGATCTCTAAATATAGACATGCGCTAGGAATAGAATAACCTGAGGTTCTAAATACAGAATGCAAGCACTGGCCGAAGCAAACAACCCACGTACGTATGGACAGTCCCTATTTTTGACCCAAGACATTTCCCTGTCCAACTCCTTCGGTACTTATTCTTAGCCTTCGACAGATGGTGGATGGGATCAATTTGGCCTCAAATATTTCAAAGAAGGGAGATATGTATGGATATGCGCACCTCATGAGGTTCCTGATGGATTAGTATGTGTGAAAGTGAGATAAGTTTAGCTTTGTGATGATGTGGGTTACGGGTGTCTCGTGGCTCCAAACTACCAATATGTGTAGTAGAGCTTAAGACTAGTTGTAACTTAATTTTCTATTAATAAAGGGTATCGTCTATTTTACTACAGTGTTCCTTATCTTGCGTCCGGACTCCAACGTGAACAACATTACATAAGCATTACAATTTATCAGAGCCTCGTACTAATCTAGAGGTCAGTCAATCTGTGATCCTCATCTATGCCTCTTTTTTTAGATTTTTTTTATTTTAATTCACATTGCATTCTGCTTATCATCCATGCCTCGCCTAGCTGGGGCTACAGGTTTTTTTGAGACTTTTTCACGCGCACTCAGGTTCCATTGCTACCATTTTTATTTTTTCTGGTAGAAGGTTCAGTGGAAAATATGGCCGAATTCTACGGGTAAACAATGAACTTAATGGCTATTCATCACGGGCGATATATCAGTGATTTTTGAAGTGACAAAAGAGGATAGGAGCACTATACAAGGTGTGGCCAATGCTGGAGACGAGCCCAAATTGCTAGATAATCATCGACTTATGTAACACAATAAACACACCTACAGAAAATTATCTATATATTGTCAGGGTAAAGATCATAGGATAGATTGACGAGGTCTAATCTGGTGATTGAGATTGTCTACAGTGAGGAAAGGTGACTCCTATCGAGCCTTGTAAATATGCATACATTGTCAATCGCGCATCAGACGCGTGATAGTACGTGACCATACCATAACGCAATCCACTCCATCCCTTGACATTTATCTTCTACCGTCACCATGTCTCCTCAGGGATGGGCCTTTAGTTGTAAATAGTGCCCAGTAGACATAAAAATAAATAAATAAAAACTAACCAGGCCCAAAAGTAGTGTTGCCATACAGCTAAGAAGCGAGCATATCGGACTCAATTCTTACCTGTGTAAAAGAAAAGTACCCGGAGTAGAAAAGCCAAGCTGTCAATGTGGATATCCGTCGCAAAACGTCAAGCATATGGTGTTGGCGTGTCCGCAGTGGGCAAATGGAAGAGGCGACTTTCTCCGACAAGCTAAAGACAGGTCATTTGAAGCAATGACCAACAGCCCAGAAGGTATGGCTAGAATCACACAGTGGATACGAAGCAAGAGTGGATAAAACATTTTCGACTTGCAGGGGAAGCTGAGGTAGCAATTTCGGATAAAGTAAAACGATCTGGAGGGGGAAAAGACGGAATCCACACTGGCTGAACAGTATACACTACACTTCCTGAAGATAAACTAAATAAATTGATAGTAATATAAACAGAAAGGATCAGGGGTTTTCACCAAATTAGTTTCCTCTGTAAATAAAGAAGATAGTCACCTGCATGGTCCCATAGGGTGCCTGATAGGGTTAAATAAATTCAAATAAATATATAAATATATCTTCGACCTCGCTTAGTTGGAAACATTCTGTGCTGATTATGTGATGGAATAAAGTTCCTACGACGGAGATCATAACCAACTGATATTTCATCAAAGCTGTTGACGATCGAAGGTAAGTAGTCCTCGTCTGCTCAGTATTGTGTCCAATTCGGTCTGGTTTGTGCAAATTTTGACAAACACAAAGTAACAACTAAGTCTTGCTTCTCAGGATCAACTAGCAAGTAAAAGCTCGCATTCGTCTTGATAATATTTACCTATCAGTTAAGAAACTTATTAGTTATATTTTCCGGCGGCCTTTGATAGTGTACAACTAAATTTATAATTTAACTGAACAAAAATTCGAAACCAACCTGGTGGATTTGTAAGGTGATTTGTCCAAAATTAGTGTACGCAACATATACCACCGACTCAGCTGCCCGAGGCTCTCTGTCGTATCATCATGGAACATTTCATTCTAGCGTTTTGTAAAGATTCAGGCAGACTACCATCGGATACAGGCTGTGCTAGGTGAGAGCCGACTTCCGCTGATGCTTTGAATTTCCAATAAATAATTTCAGCCTCTTACATCGGTACAAGTTATGAAGTAGGTAAATATTTTCTGTCGATACAAGCGTCAAGTGACATGGTAATATTGTGCTATTCAGTCACAACTTCCATCTTTCCAGCCAGTCCTCCACCGCTCTTCCCATTTTCCGCAGTCGAAACTGGGCTTGCCGAGTTTTTTGTTAACGGCATTATGTGCCTCGCACATCCAGCGTCCCAAGTCGTCGCGGCTTGCAGAACGCACACCGTTCACTTCTATATACTTTTCGAAGTCGGCAGCGCAGACCCAGCACGGATAAAACTGGGCAAACAAATGGAGGAAATGAGACATGTTTCTCTGTTGGTTGTGCGTTGGATGGGTTGGATAATTAGCAGTCATGGTGTGCAGCAGAGTCCACGAGGAGCGTCCAAGGGCTTCAACGTCGGGCGGACAGCCGGGACTAGGTTGGCGTGGCCTGGCCCCATCTGTTACTTTCTTCGTCTGTGTGACCCAGGAGGAAAAAGCAGCGCTCGAGCTACACGAACGACACCTGTTCCATCATCAGGAGTTGCTTTCACCAACCGGCTAAGGGGTCCTACGGCTTACCATCTTTCCCTAGCACGAGCGCCGGCTCACTAGTTTGAGTTGGAGTTTCCGAGCTAGAGCCATCGGGCCTAACTACACGTTTCCAGCTGTCTTCGGTCATAAGGATGATTGGGTCTACAGGTGATGCGAGGAGATGGCACATTTAAATTAACGGTGCATCTAGCTCTTGCGTCTGATGCTTGATCTACGCTAACGCGCTTGCGTCATGCCTTACGTCATCATAATGCGGCCTCAACCATTAAAGATTCGGCGGTAAATGCTTGGCGACGGCTATTCACTCGCAAGTAACTACACATAATCTTTGATCTACAGGAGATCGCAATCCACACCATACTCGACTTTTTTCTCGAGTACATTTTAAGGACTGTATTCCCCTCAGAGGTTCTAGACAAGGCAAAAATTCACATTTCATTGCGCCTGATAAAGAGGTAAGAACGAAGCAATGGGCAACAATAAGAATGACACCATTAATGAGGATATGCCCGTCATTCTCCTCAAAGACAAATGTGAAGATGATGATCCATACGTCAAGCACTTTGCCGAATCCACAGGTATTCCCAAACTTGACCCTATTTTTGTCCCCGTATTAGAGCATCAATTCGTCGAGACTGAAGTAGAAAAGTTTCGCAAAATTCTTCACGAAAAGGAGATCGGGAAACAGAAAAGCTCTAAGTACGGTGGCTTAATTTTTACATCTAAGCGAGCCGTGGAAGCATTTATGCAGCTAGTAGTTGAAGGCGTCGAGGAAGACACAGGTTTGTCAGACAAGGCTGCACAGACAACATAGCATGGGAAGTTAATGATTATAGGTGACCTCCAAGACTGGCCATGCCTTCAAGAAGTACCCATCTATTCGGTCGGGCCTGCCACCACCAGAGCGCTCAAAGCGATTCCCATAGATTGTCCTCTTAATATCTTCGAGTCAGACTGGGGGAATGCACAGGGTCTAGCCCACTTCATACTAAAACACTATCGAGACTGGTATAACGGCTGGGATCACAAACGCCCATTACTCTTCGTTGGAAGCGAACATAAACGTGGTGATATTCCAAAGATCCTTATGGATTCCAGTCTAGGGCCGGACAAGATTCCCGTAGACGAATTGGACGTTTACACCACTTCTATCAGGGAATCATTCATGAATGACCTGATGGAGGAAATGCGCAACACCATAGATCGAGGGACGCGATGGATGGTATTTTTTTCACATGCTGCTGCCTGTAAGGTACTCGATATTGCTGGTGTGATAGACGATGAAACTGGAAAAGCGGAGCCGCGTATAATCACTTCACCTGGACAAACGCTCTACGCTACTATTGGTCCAACTACGCGGGACTATCTTAAAGAAGCCGTCGACTTTGAGCCAGAAGTTTCAGCTAAGAACCCGACTCCCGAGGAAATTGAAAAGGGGATCAGAGATTTTCTGGCATATAGGAAAAAATTCCTCCTAGATTCTATAGCCGATGAATGGTGATTTTTGACACAGAGAAAACTTATCCTTCCTTCTTGTGGCCTAAGCTAGTCACGAGAAATATTTGCCGCGATATGGTCATGTAAATCTAGTAGCTGAAAAGATTATCATGGCGTGGATTATTTAGGTATTCCATTACCCCGATTCTCGATCAACGCACGTGATCTTCGCCAATCCAGTCTCCTTGGGATTGACAGCGGAGCAGAATGTTTGAGATGAGATGTAAGCTTAGGTTTATAAGGTCGTGAGTTGTAAGTGCCTGTGTGCTTGAACCTTTGGATACGTAAAGTAGAGCTAAAGATTGGTTGTAACTTGATGTCATTGAAAGTGTAGGGCATTATCCACTTAAGTAAAGTATTTCTTTCCGTACACCCAAATTTCATGGCGAGAGTTAAAAATTATCAGTATTTATCAGATCATCGAACTAATCAACAGGTTTTTGAATCCGGGATCCTAACCCCGGAGTGCGTGTGACTAAATCTTGAATACGTACAATGGAGATCTGACTTCAGTGACATGGGGCGAAGTTCGATAGTGTCGAAAGACCCCGAACTTCGCCGCTAGGAATACAACGTCTCGCATCGATGATCCGAGACCCGACGGAAGAAAGTTATGAGAGCAAGGGACGCCGTGCACCTCGCAATTACGCGGGGAAGTTATAATGGCTCAATGAAGTTATGCTCGGTCGCCAAGGGCAGTTAGCGCCGGGGTGCCATGCCCCCCTTAATCTATATATAGGAAACACGTACATTGACGTAGCTTCAGCTAGTGCCTCGACTACAGGTAAGGGCTTCATAGCTTCTAGACACCAGCGAGCAAGCGGTGACCAACTTGTAATTAGCGCTGCAAGGCTGCTCGCTGATGAGGGGCGCATGCTTGGACAATTACAACCTCTGAGGCTTCCAGATCATGAATACCCACGGAGGAGAGTCAAATGCTCTGCGGGACTGATCACACCCCTCTTTAAATTCACAAATAAAATACAGAAGATTGGTGTCTTCAAAGCCTTTCGAGATGCTTAAAATTTACCCAAGACACCGGTGAAGCATTGCAGCTGCAAAGCGGTATTCTTATTCCATGTTTAAAACACTTGTAGCTGGCTCGGGAAACACTCTATTGACCACAGCGGTCAGCGACAAAGTCGAACCGATCGCTTCCGAAGCCTCAAAAAAATGAGGCGAAGCCATCTCATGGCGACCCTAGTCTCGGAGGACAAAGGCTTGAAATCTGCAAGCCGATTATTATCTCAGAGCCAGGTTTGGTTGAAACTCGCCATACCGAAGAAGCTGGCCTATGAGGCCATGATTCAAGATTCTTCACCTTATCAGTATCTGACCCTCGACGTGATCGATCCCATCAAAGTATCACCAAATTTGCAAGTACGATCGGGTAAATTCTCGTTTCAATAACCACAGGCTTTGTCGTCCCTATTTTTGGCTTCAGCTAGCTACCGGAAACACCCCCACGAGAACACAAAAACCCGCAGCAGAACAAAAATCGTGGCGCAAAAATCTACAAGGCAAATTCTTGAGATTGACATGAGAGGTATCAGGCTGGATCGATAAAAAATACTGGGGATATGTACAATCTTGGAAAGTGTGAGATTTCGATTTTCGGCAAGGAGTTTTTTACATTGAGGATTGAGAACCGTAAGGCATGCCTGAAGAGAGACCAAGTGACACTATAAGTACAGTCATGGTTGGATGGTGCGGTGGTACATCGTCTTGGCAGGTCTCCCAAGTAGATTCTGGATGGCTTGGACATGCATCTCGCCCGAGACAGCAGATCGCTAGTTCTGATGCGGCAGGATTCCACCAAATTTCTAGCGGTGCTTGTGTGCATGGGTGACGAAGGCATGTCTGGATAACCAGACTTTGAGACTGCCCTTTATTGAGTACTCATGGCTAAGGGTCCATAGCTTAGTGTAAAGAAACATAAACCATAGTAGTATTGTGAATGAAACGTAGTGTATGAGGGTCCCAGGTGCCCAGAAGAGATATTCAACATTTGTCAAGCCATTGAACATGCGTTAAAGCTCTGTAGCCTAATGCACAGTAAATGATTTGAAGGTAACAATAGATTTTAGCAATGGGAACACTTGCAATATTAGCTTCGATATCTGTTGATCTTATGGCGAGGATGCGATAGATAGACAAGGGACACGGCTCTGTATTTATAGCGGCTCCGGGCGAGGCCTTTTGATGTGCATGCAGCCTATGGAAGGTTAATCCCGGGCCTTCTCTGAAATAAGCTTTAGGAACTGTCGGATGGAGGTAAAAGTTGCTGTTAAGAGCCACATATAGCACTATCTGAGGTAGAAGTGCGCTGTGGTTAATTTGTGATATGTGTTTATTGTATTAGTGAAGTCATAGACTATCTAGCACTTTGAGCTCCTCTCTGACACAGGCTAGACCTTGTACCGTGCTCCTATCCTGCTTTGTTACTTCAGATGTCTTTAATAAATTACCGGTAACGAGTAGTCATTCAGCTCAGTGTTTACCCGTAGAATTCGGCCTTATTTTCCACTTAACCTTCTACCCGAAAAAAGGAAAAAAAAAGGTAGCAATAGAAACTGCGTGCGCGGGAAAAGGTCTCAAAAAACCTGCAGCCCCAGCCAGGCGAGGCCTGGACACCGGGACCACATGAGGTGCGCATATCCATACATATCTCCCTTCTTTGAAATATTTGAGGCCAACTTGGTCAAATCCACCATCGCCGTATCGGTGCTGTGTACGTTCCGGAAACTCATCTGACGGCTTTTCCTCCATAATCGAGGGTGAGTGATGAGTAGGGCTTCGACCCTACCATCTGATCTGATCGTGGTTAGCCTCATGATAATGGTGATAGGGGGATATGTCGAGGGATGAAGACGATACAGACCGCGAAAGCGATTAGGTCTTCATCAAAGCAAGGATAAAGGTATTACCCAATCTCGGCTCTGCAGTGAGAGCTGGAGGTTCGCAGGGGACACCACTGACAGGTGTTGACAATAGTCCCCCAAAATTTATGATTTACCCAAGTGGAACTTATGCTGCAGTTGCAAAGGGTAGTGAGAGCCCCAAGATCGCTGGCTATCTTGAGCAGCATCGGTCCAGTAGCCGGGTAGGTGGGCGCAGAAGGCGGCGATAGGATCCTGAAGTTCTGTAGACGACAACGACCTGGCCTGAGCGCCAACCATTGTGTGGAGCCTGAGATCTTGCCAGCGCGAAATCTGTCGAGAGCTTTATTATTGTCAATCTAGTGGATTGACAGTGACAATATCTTCATCTTAGGTGTGGAGGCGGGGGGGAAGTAGTGGGGGTAAGTACGGCAGGCTTTGAACTAAGACCGTTCTGAGTCGAGAGAGATGTATGGCTAGTGCGACCGGATACATCGAGTATATGGGGTAACTTGTGCCGTGGAGACGAGACGCTGGCCCCTTTCAAGCGTAAGTGAAGTCGATGGGCAAATATGGCATAGGATTTGAGTCGGCCTCTCGAAATAACTTGGACAGGCGAGCGACGGGGACACATGAAGGGGCCGCCTGATTAGAAGCCTGAAGAGGTGGGAGCAAGAACTCATTGAGACTGGCGCTCGCCCAGGTGGAGTATAATTTAGCTGGATGCAAATAGAAGACATTGCGGCCAACCTCGGGCGCCGTGCTGAGACGAGCATACATGATCGATGGATTGAAGACTGTGCGCACAATGCCATGCACCAATGTTCTCGATGGCGAGGGCTAGAAGCCCCTCGCCATTGCCGTTAGCCGGTAGCAGAGGATACGGCAACCACTGGTATTACAGTAAAGCCACAGTTATGTCTAGACGAATGTAATTTGTTAGCACGTACGCAGTATTTGCAAACAGTCTGCTCTCTGTCCAGGAGGCTCCTACATGGCAAATTTCAAGGGCCTTTCGAATTTCGTGGGGATGTCTGTGTCCCGGATGACTTGGTGGTGGGCCCAGTCTAGAAGGCGGTCCGGACCATGACGAGGACAAGCTCCCCGCTTCGCATGCAGATGAGCCAACAATTTGGAATGCAAGAGATTCAGCCACAACGACGCCGGAACACAAATGAGGAAAACGCAGTGCGCGCCGAGCAAATAGCGTGTAGCGTCCAAAAAACCAGGGCGCTCGGTGGTGAAACTGGACCGGCTCGGTCTGGAGTTTCGGGTCGGATGGCCTAGACATGGCCTGTGCTGTCCCTAGAATGAGACGAGCGTTCTACCCGCGCTGACCCTGATGCCGGAGTCCCAGATGGCGCGTGACTCGGCGCGGCCAGACTTGTTTCAGGCTTCGAGGCTGGGACCGGGATGCTGTAAGAGCGAGTTTCTCATGAGCACTTGTCCCAGGGTCCGAACGTCCGGACTTTTTGGCAGTGGAGACGAGGCAAGGGCGTCAAATGGACAAGCGCGGGACCGGCCGGCGGAGAGTCAAGCAACAGGGCGTCTCAATATGCCCTGGGCTACTTGACAGCGTCCGACTTCTGAGGCCGCCGCTTTTAGTACTTCCTCGTCCGCACTAGACCCCTGAAGCCAGCTGGACTGGCGATTAGGCCAGACAGGCGCATCCCAATTTCGCTTGCGTCGCCCCTCGTCCTTTCATTTTATTCCGCCCCCTTTTCCTCGCCCGCCGTCCTTAGGCCGCCCTGACTCCAGCACGCCAGACTAGGCTAGACCTAGCAGGGTCGCATTCAAGCGACGACAACAAGCCGCACAGAACTCGACTCGACCACTCATTTGCCCCTTCTCCCTTGCCTATTGAAGAGTTGCCCTGGCCTCTTTCTTTTTGCCCTCCACATCCTTCCCATTCCCGCCATCTCCGCTTCGCCCTCCCCATCCTCCCTTCCACACTCTCTCAACCACTTAGCCCGATCCCTACAACCACCACCACTCCTGGAAAACACTCCTCGCCCTCTCGACCGCCAGTCTGTATAGCGGCTTCCGCAACTCCCACATCAGGGCCGCCACAACTACAACAACAGAAAAATACGAAGCAGCAACACCGCCAACGCACAGCTTGCAACAGTACCCATCCACCGAAGCTTCAGTCACACCTTTTTGTCAATACGTCTGCTCTTATCAATCTGCAAAGTCCCGCCACCGCTCCCAACTCCGCCTACTTCCTTACCGCGACCGACCTCTCGAGTCAATTCGAAACTGTCTCTGAAATTACTGTCGTGGGAGGAGCTGGCCGGCCATTCTTCTCGCCTCATCAATTTTGCTCCCTCCAATCCTCCCCTAAACCGCAAAGTGGTTAACGGTAACATCAGAAAATTGCCGCAGCTCTTCAATTCATCTACCGACGAGCCGTCAAGTTGGATAACAGCCTAGTCTTCTCCCCTACAATAATCGATTGCATACAACCCAAACGCCCAAATCTTCATCCGAAATGAAGTCCACATCAGCGGTCACGACTTTGGCGATAGGTCTCTATACTACTGCAAAGGTTTTCGCAGCTTCAGCTTCGCCCAAAGGCTGCTACAGCTCCTCGAATGGCCTCACTCTAAATGGTTCCCAAACATTCAATTCCATTGGAGCCTGCTCACAAACATGCCTGGCAACTAAATCCGTGACCATGGCAATGCAAGATTCCAATTGTTACTGCGGCTCCAAACTTCCCCCCACAAACTCCCTCGTTGATGACGCTAAATGTGCCATACCGTGCCCTGGCTATCCCTCGGATGTCTGTAAGCAAGAATTCCCTTTGCCACCAATCGGCCAAGCTAACCAAGTAGGCGGTGGAAACGGATTTTATAGTCTATACCTTACTGGTCTATCCGCAGTCGTTGAAAATTCTGATTCATCAGACTCATCTTCCTCATCTTCATCCTCGACCACCTCTCCTTCAAAATCATCTGCAACTTCTTCTGCCAGCCCCTCCATAGTAACTGTTGGTGGACAAACGGTGGTGGTAACAGCCAATCCAGAGTCAAGCTCGAGCACTGCCCCTAAGCCTTCGGAACCAAATAAAGCTGGGGTTGCAGTAGGGATTGTCTTTGGACTACTTGGATTCGCCGCTTTAGCAGGTGGTATTCTCGTCTTCATGCGTAACCGAAAGCGTCGCGCTATAGAGGAAGAGCATCGCCAAGCCGCTGCTGTCAATAGCTTTATTGACGGAGGCAAATATGGAGGACCTGTCACAGACACACGCCTAGATCCGGCTGCAATGGCTACACGGCGAATGAGCGATGGAAGTATCGCAGACAACCAAGACTACTCCAGGCGTATACTCAAGGTAGTAATAGGCTTGTAGTATAATAGATTGATGAGACTAACGTGTCACAGGTAACTAACGCTTAGACCTGTATGATCTACAAGTCATACCTATTCCTTCTGTCACGTTCACGGGGCGTTCTTGTTGTTGGCCTTTGAGAGGTGACGACCTCTCCTAGACGGTTCGTTTGATTTATGTAAACATGATTGGCCAGAAATCTGAGTACGAACATAACTCCATGTTTCATATCTCTCTCTCTATTTCTCCCTAATTAAACTACCCTAAGAGGACTCCGAAAATCCCCATTTTGTTCTTTGGCGTCCCTTTTTTGCACCTCCTCTTGACTCACGCGCGGAAACCATTACATTTGAAGGGTTTGTGTCTTCTCGTTGCGGGCTTTCATCTGATTCCATGTATGACTTTTATCTTGGGGGAACCGGGGGGGGATACCGGTAAATAATCGAACATCTGCTGCACTGTATATTTATATGATTTTCTGTGGCAACAGATAATGAAGCGCGGGGGCGTTATTGATGGGGTTGTACGCTTGGGTAGACAGTCTTGATTTTAATGAACATATCGAAAGCTTAACCCAATATGATACCATTGGCAAGACCCGACCCGCCTGTAAGCATTAGAAAATATCTTACGAATCTTCATTATTGACCAAGTCTAGCGCTTATCGAGGCTGGGAACATGGTAGCACATGGCTAGCAGCTCGACGGCAGCTTTGCCAGGGCGAAGACATGCCTAGAGCTTTCCATATGTGTTTATGCCTAATGATATCGGGGTGTGGCCATGATCATTGGCCGCTGTTGGTAGGCCCAGAGTGTGACAGATGTTCATATTTACGTGTTGCGGACGCTATAAACTGCTTGGCACGCCGTCGCTAAGGAATCCGAGGGGAACATGATAACTAAGATGATGACCATCAAGTAGAAGTCAAGATGAAACACCATCTCCACTCAGAGGTCAGCATACATTGGCCGCGAGTCAGCCTATAAGTCACGCTGAAGAAGATGCCCGTCCCATCTTCGCCGTTTTCTCACGCTTGCGTACCATGCTAGCTTCGATGTGTCGTAGGAAGAGGCTCGTTCGGTCGATCCAGGAGTGAAGTCACCACCAATGATCCGTGCGCCTTTTTCTGACCGGCCGGGTTCGCGTCGCGCCGCTGCCATTGGGGCCTCTTTTCTCAAGGCTACGGCCGGGAACCACGGGGCTCAAAATGGTCGCAAATGCGGGCTTCAAACAGGTGCAAAGACCAGCTATTGTTCGGCATCTACGCCTGCGCAGGCCAGAATGCGGTGGTAGGAGTCGTTCAACTTGAAGTTCAAAATGTGTGGTCCGTAGAGGTCGTGATCTGCCCTCACGTTTGAACTGCCCAGGTTATGTCACAATCAGTGCTAGGACGGGGTTATGTGTACGGAAGCTGGGCAAACTTGAAATTCCCATAATTATCATTCTGCCCTCTACTCTCCCCAGTATTTTTAACAAGGAAGATACGATGGCTCAGAAGCTGTACTGTGTCGAGATATGAAAAGTTACTGCTCACACAATGAGGTCGATCCAATCACTTTTCTGTATCAGGTTTTAACCGCATGTGCCGCTATCTAGAATGACCCCATATTGGAGGCTTAGTAAAGGGTAAATGACTCGAGTTGAGAGTAGGGCATGTCGAAGCTTTGCTGTTGAGTGAAGGAGATAAAGTAGTTTCATCGCTCACGATGTGTGAGGTAACCGAGACTTGGATTTGTAGCTCCTAACTATTGTTGCTATGCTAGCCCGCGGATTTTTACATTACAAAAGGATGTCTTTATCTACAATTAGGTCGAATCGTTTAGGTCTGGCAAGCGGCTTTCGCCGCTTTGCTCTTTCTTCCTGCAGGACTTCACGTGCTACATGACTACTGCTCGCCATGACGTCCGAGTATTTTTTTTTAAATCATTTAATGTGTATTCAGCTATCTAACTATGACACATGACCGGTGCTATGTATACATGTGGGATGACTCTATTGAAGTTAGAGACACTCATACTCTGGATTTCATTCGCAAATACCACTATGAGGTATGTTCGCTTACACAAACAGTCGACCCTCCTCCGTAAGTACCCACCAAAGTGACGTTTCAAAACCTTTGGTTATCCAAGCATGCCTTCGTCATCCATGCATACCAGCGCCGCGAGAAAAGTGGTTGTGTTTTGCCGGATCTGAACCAGCCATCTACTGTCTCAAGTGGGATATGTGTCCAAGCTATCCAGACTTTACTTGGCAGACCGGCCAAGACGATGTACCACCGCACCATCCAACCATGGCGGTGTTTATAGTGTCGCCTGCACTCTCGCAACCGAAGGCTTGGCACGCACAAAGCTCATTTTGTAAAACCTCCTTGCCAAAATTCGAAATTCCACGCCCGTCGATACTGAATCCATCCTTCGCATCATCTTGTTAACTTGTCCTGAATCCTCTCACGCCAGTCCCAGAGAACAGTCTCTCAGATTTGCGCGCCACGCTTTGTGTCCTCCGTCGAGTATAAATATCGGCGTGGGCGTGTATTTGGTGACCGGCTGAGGCCAGAGAAAGTCGACGAGAGGTGTGATCATTGGAATAGGGATGTACTAGGTCGTACTTGTAGACTTGATGAGGCTTGGGTAGGATTCGATCTTTTTTGGAATGAAAATATGACGTGGTGGAGTATTTTGAATCATTGCCTCGAGGGCCAACTTGTTAGTTATTGCGAAATTTGACTGAACTTGTCTCTGGGAGAATATTTCACTCCCAGGTTCGTAGAGGACACCGCGTACAGGTGTTCAGTCTTGCACTCCGACGTCCGAGGATACAGAGCGAAGGTTGCAACAGAGCACCCATGCCATATATTTCATATGCAAGTATCACTGCGAGGTGAGGACGGCTATTTCTTCACCTCAAGTTAGCCATCATATGTGAATACCCGCCTAGTAAAAAACTTTCCAAAACTAGGTTCTAACTAGGACTACCTCGTTCATCCAATTGCTAAACATGTTGTGACTTTAGAAGCTTTAGTTTTCCATACACAGTGCTTGCTATTGGTGACGAAACGGTAGCGAATTTCTCGCTTTATGAATCGCACAAGACAAGTGAAGGAGCTCCAATAACGCAACTAAATATAAACATTGTTTCTAGAGGCAGTATCCCGTTTAAATAGTTTATTGCACTCTCCGGGAATCGAACCCGGGGCCAGCGCAAGCATTGTGTGGGAAGCGCTGATTTTACCACTAAACCAAGAGTGCTTTATATAAAATCCCACACTATATTAAAGTCTATTCTATATTAATTGAAATTTATAATGCGAAACAACATGATGTAATGGACCTAAGTGTTTGGATGACATCGAAGGCGAAGAACAACTACCGAAAAGGTTGTGTAGGGTAATGTCTAGGGTCAAAAATAGGGACTGTCCATACGTACGTGGGTTGTTTGCTTCGGTCAGTGCTTGCATTCTGTATTTAGAACCTCAGGTTATTCTATTCCTAGCGCATGTCTATAATTAGGGATCAAGAGATCAAGAGATCAAGTCAATCATGATCTGTATATATAGTCCTAGAAATCCGGGAGAAATAGGAATCAAGTTGTTTTTACTGGGGTATCTTTTGCTTTAATTACAAACACTTCGCCTATCACAGGTCAGGCTCCCAGTTGCCTGACAGATGAAGAGTCGAAATAATCCTATATTTGAGGAGATAGGGTTTTACGCCACTAACGTTGTGAGTGTAGAAATATGCCATCAAATCGTAAACAAGCCCTCAAGAGTCTCTCCCTACTATGGGTTGTGCCGTCTCCGTCAGAAGTTCAGTTTGATACATAATACTGGGCTGAAGGGGGGGGACTATTCTCAACACCTGTCAGTGGTGTCCCCTACGAACCTCCAGCTCTCACTGTAGAGTCTGCAGAGCCGAGATTGAGTAACAAAGTCCTCACTTCGAAGAGGATTCCCAATCGCTTTCGCGGTCTGTATCGTCTTCATCTCTCAACACATTCCCCTATCACCATTATCATGAAGCTAACCACGATCAGATCAGATGGTAGGGTCGGAGCCCTACTCGTCACCCACCCTTGATCATGGAGGAAAAGCCATCCGATGAGTTTCCGGAGCGTACCCAGCACCCGATACGGAGATGGTGGATTGGATCAAGTCGGCCTCGACTGTTACAAAGAAGGGAGATATAGATGAATATGCGCACCTCATGTGGTCCCGGTGTCTAGGCCTCGCCTGGCTGGGGCTGCAGGTTTTTTGAGACTTTTTCCCGCGCACGCAGTTTCCATTGCTACCATTTTCATTCTTTTTGGGTAGAAGGTTCCGTGGAAAAGGTGGCTGAATTCCACGGGTAAAAACTGAGCTGAATGGCTATTCATCAAGGGGAATATATCAATGATCTTTCAAGTAACAAAAGAGGATAGGAGCACTGTACAAGGTGTGGCCTGGGTCAGAGAGGAGCCCAATGTGCTAGATAGTCATAGACTCAAGTAGTACAATAAAATCACACACACATACTGGGCTGAAGGGCTATTCATAGTGTTGGAATTTAGGATAATTGGGGCTATCAAGTGGGCCACGTTGCTGATCTACACGTGACTGCAAATTCTGTGCTTAGTTTCACTTCGGTAGTTACTTGAATCAATGCGCTCTACAACCTCAATGACTGAGGGGTCATTACTTCCTTAATACATAGGCGTTATATCAAGGATCTTGTAACAAGAGAGGATGAGAGCACTGTACATGGTGTGGCCTGGTCCAGAGAGGTGCTCAATATGCTAGAAAGTCCTTGACTCTAGTATTACGGTAAATATACATCTCTCTCTATCTTTCTGCTGTTCCTAAATCATAAAAATGGGATTCATCTTCAAAGTGCTTGCTTTCTCCTGTCGTAACCAGGGAGTAACATGACTGCATCACAATAAACTGTTCACAATTAAATATTGTGCACATGCACCATGAGAAAAAATTGACCTAGATCATCACTCATTGGTATGAAAAGTATTTCGCAGTAGATTCCTAGTGATAT